CGGAAGAGCCATTTTCTACCCGGAATCGTCCAGCTCTTTGAATGGCTCCATCAGCATCACTAGATATAAGCTGTAAAAAAGATCTTAAATTACTTGTTCTAGTTTCAAAAGCCCCTGCCGAATCAGAAATTAAAACATGACCACCCAAGTTTGGCTTTCCCCATCACAGCCAATGGCATGTAACTTCAGTGGAAATCAGGTCAGTTTAGAGCAGCTACTACCAGGGATTGGGGAAAACCAACTTCCCTCTGAAACAACTTCACTGCAGTTCTAAGATCTCTTACAGGAAAAAGAAGTCTTTTTCTTGCCTCATGGAGCTGCTGCCCACTAGTGAGAAGCTTTATTGCAATTACTGACTGGGCTGACATGTGAGCTGCTTATAAAGAGGCCTGAACCATCAGAAACGTTGTTCTGCTAAGTGGGTATCAAACAAAAGATAGTTTTATCCAGCACTAGAAGGGTAAATTGCCTGGATTATGGCAACATGCAATCTACAGAAGGAAGAAAAGGAAGAAAAGGACATTTACAGTAGGCCCAACTTGAATTCAAAATAAAGTCACCACAATATGTGTTATCATTTAAAGCCAAATAAGCAATGGGCTTCCCTCCCTGAGAGCGGGGCCCCAAGTAGGTATGCTTGGAGAGGAAAGCCAGGGAAGGAGAGTTAAGTGCTCTTCTAGTGGACAAGGTCCCCTGCTGCCAGGTCTAGGGAAAGCACGTTGGATTTTTAAACCAGGACTATCCAACTTCTCAACGACCAGAGACCACATGCCCCACAGGCTGCAACAATGGGCCCCCTGCTGCACTGTGTGCAGGCACACCCCTGACCCTTAACTCCCCGACTGCTGGCTCCCCCACACCCTGGACAGTGCTGCTCAGGGGCACGAAGTGAAAGCCAGAGGAGGGAGGCTGCTGCTGTAGCCAAAGCAATGGGAGCAGCAACGGCTAGGTGGAAGCTGGGGCTGCATGTTAAACCCCCAGGGGCTGTCAGTCAGACAGTCCTGTTCTCAGCAGTGCAGTATGCCCTCATTCCTTTGCATAGCCATGATACTACAGACTGGTGGGGCCACCAGCCAGCACTGCTATTTTCCCTCATCAGGCCCTACAGGACTCAGCAGCAGGCTTTTAAAATGCAAGGAGCACCTCTACCTGGACCAGTTTATTTTCTCTGGCAGTGCTAAACACCCCTTAAAATCTCAACAGAAAATCCGTTTTGTCAGACCGTGAATATAGCCTACAAATTTCCAAGCACAACCTGTAAACACAGACAGCCCCAGTTTCAGCAGCTTCTGCCTTTCCCAAGGCCCTTCCTCAGTCCACTTTGTCAAAAAGCCACATCAGCACTTTCTGATGGAGTCCTTCCTTGTCCCTACCAGCAGCAACTCCCCAGACTTCCCACCTGGGAAACATTTGTTCTGTCAGGCACTGGTCATGGTCAAGCCCCTCAATACTCTCCTTGGTCCAATAGTTTCCACTATCTAGCGGAATGAGTTTTAGTTCAAAGTGCCCTTTAAGTTAGCAGGTAAGCCCCTTCATACCTACTGTCTCTCAAATCCTCTCCAGCTCCCTAGTCTAGGGGCATTTTTACACTTGCTCCGGGAAGCACGGGGGGAGCACTTTAATTAGTGAGTCATGCTAATTAAATGTGCCCGAGCGTCACGTTATCAGCGTCCCCCACGCTGAAAAATGATGGCGGGGCTAAAACCCATTGAACAAGCTTTAGTTCAATGCTCCCCACCGCCATTTTTCAGCACGAGGATGCTGATACACAAGATGCCAGAGTCTGCTGAAGCGCGTTTATTTCCGTGACTGAATTGAGTCTACTCCGACGCACTGGATTTCCAGTGCACCGGAGCCAGCTCCCTGCACATGTATAGGAGCCCTAGGACACTCCTACACATCTGTCCAGGGACCTTTCAACAGATCCCAACTGGTCATCTCCTGGAACTCCTACAGATTTCTGCATCTTCTCTATATTTAGTAGTCTTAAGTGCATGCCCTCTAACTCCTCTAACCAGGTGCAACAAGTATGTACTATGTGGACTACAAGGAACTAAACAAAACTCAGCAGCTGATAACCGACACTCAGGAGAAAACCAAACTCCTTAACGAACACTTTGTGTCGGTATTTCACCAGTCCAAGGGTGTTAGCCTGCTTGACAGGATACAGGATGATTGAGGTGGGGGTGATCACCCTCCCATAGCTGGCAAAGATCTTGTGGGAAAACATCTAGAGGCTGGATATCTACAAAGTCACCAGGACTGGATGAACTACACCCAAGAGTGCTGAAAGAATTGGCCAACATCATTGCACAACCTATGGCAAAGCTATTTGAGGACTCGCAGCACTCGGGAGAGATCCCAGAAGACTGGAAGAGGGCCAATGTGGTGTCTATCTTCAAGAAAGGGAGAAAGGACCCCCCGGGAAATTACAGACCAATCAGTTTGACCTCTACCCCTGGAAAAATACTGGAAAAAGTTATCAAAGAATCCATTATTGATAAGCTAACTGAAGGCAGTATTCTAAACGACAGCCAACATGGCTTTGTTATGGGCAGGTCATGCCTGACCAACTTCATTTCCTTTTATGATCAGGTAACTCACCACCTGGATAAGGGAAATGAGGCTGATGTCATATATTTGGATTTCAAAAAGGCCTTTGACTTAGTCTCCCGCAATGTCCTCATGGTAAAATTGGGAAAACGTGGCCTTGACTACTTTATGGTCCAATGGCTAGGTAACTGGCTCTGAGGTAGGACCCAGAGAATATTAATAGGCGGAACCGAGTCAATATGGCAGAAGGTGACCAGTGGCATCCCACAGCACTTGGACCAGTGCTTTTCAACCTGTTCATCAACGATTTGGATTCAGGTATTAAAAGCAACTGTCAAAGTTTGCAGACAACACCAAATTATGGGGGAGCACAATCATGCTTGAGGACAGGCTTGAAAGGTGGGCAGATCAAAACCTGACGACGTTTAACACAGAGAAATGTAAAGTGCTTCATCTGGGGAGAAATAATCCACAACAGACTTACAGGTTCGGCACTGCTACACTTGCCAGCACCACAACTAAGAGAGACCTAGGGGTCGTAATAGACCACAGAATGAACATGAGCCACCAATGTGATGCTGTAGCTGGCAGAGCAAACAAAACACTGGCATGCAACTACCAATGCATCTCAAGCAAGACTAAGGATGTCATCCTCCCACTCTAGTCAGCCGTGGTGAGACCACAGATGGAGTGCTGCATCCAGGTCTGGGCACCGCACTTCAGGAAGGATGTGGAGAAGCTTGAGAGAGTCCAAAGGAGGGCCACGCACATGATTAGAGGTCTGGAGAGCAGGTCATACAAGGAGAGACTGAAAGACATGGGACTGTTCAGCCTGGATAAAAGAAGACTTAGAGGGGACTTGGTGGCCGCCTGTAACTATAAAGGGTGTACACATCAGGGTCTGAGGGAGCATCTGTTCACCAAGGCACCCCAGGGGAAGCCAAGAACCAATGGCCACAAACTGCTTGAAGATTACTTCGGCTTGGACATAAGGAGAAACTTGTTTACGATTCGAGTGCCTAGTAGGGATGTGCGAAGCAGGCCCTATTCGATTCGGATTCAGCCCAAATAAGGGACAGCGATTCCATTCATTGATTCGGACCACTGCCCCTGATTTAATGCAGTCAAATTCAAATCTGAAGATTTGGAGAATCAGCGATTCAGATACAGACACAGCTTTAAATGTTTTTTCTACATACCTTGAGGTAGCAGGCATGGCTTGTGAACGCTGCAATGATGGGATGGATAGAGCATCCCACAGGAGTGCAGGGCGGCCCTCCACGTGCTCAGCGGCAAACCCAGAAGTGAACTGGAAGTACTTCCAGTCCACTTCCAGGTCAGCTGGGGAGCACGCGGGGGGAGGGGGAAGGGTGCCCCCCGCCCGAATTCAAGTCCGAGATTTGGCCACCAAATCGGGCCAAATCAAATCAGGGACCAAAGTTTCACATAGCCCTAGTGCCTAGGGTCTGGAACAGACTCCCACCCCCCAAAGGTGGTACAATCACCTACCCTGGAGAGCTTTAAAAAACATCTTGATGCACACCTATTCGCACCAACGTTCTCTCCCAAAGAATGAAAGTCTTTAAGGCCTTCTAACCTGGCATCACTGCAGTCTATACTCACACTCTATACACTCTGTTGCAGGTGACATTGTCTTGATCATGCAGTACTATAGTCCTGCAACCAGGGAGAAAATTTGTTCTCCCTCTTCTTTGGGGCATCCTTTTAGATATTTGAACACTGCTATCAACATACCCCCTTAATCACCTTTTCTGCAAGCCTAACAGGCCTAGTTGTCAACCTTTCCTGGCATGACTTGCCTACCAACTTCTTTTCTGTTTCTGTCACCTCCTTTTGGAGCCTATCTACCTTTGCAACATCCTTCTAAAAATGCAGAATCCAGAACAGCCCACAATACTCTAAATGAAACATAACCAGCATTGGATAGAGTGACACTATCGCTTGCCATGTCTTCCGTCAAATATTCCTTTTGATGAAACCCAAAATTGCATTTTCTTAAACAACTGCATAAAACTACTGATTTATGTTGAATCTGTGATCCACCAAAACCCTAAAATCCTTCTCAGCAATGCTGCCTTCCAGCCAGGTAGCTCCCATCCTGTATTTGTGTTTCTGATTATTCTTCCTTGGGTGCAGCACTTAGCATCTGTCTGCACTGACAAAAGTGAATACTTTTATAATGGATTCCACAAGCTCTCAGTTTCTATGGCAGAAAGTCTCTTCTTTAGCTGTTGAAGACTTCCTAAAAATACAAATGATAAGATAAATGGTCCCTGTCATTCTTCTGTATGGTCAGCAACGGCTACCTCTGTGCCATGGCTCCAGCATACCACAGCTAGGACATTCTCAATTTATGTCCTGCCTACCACTTCAAATGTCTTTCAAATGCAGTGGCGATGCGTAGGGGGTGCACGGGGGTGCCCGCGCACCCCCTGACCAGCCGTGCTGGGCAGTCAGTTCCCCCCTGCAAGTGCCAGCAGGGGTGTGGGAGTGCCA